CACTTCAAAAGTTCTGGGAGGGAGAAGAGTGAATGAGTGCAGGGCTACAGTGCCCCCAATGACCAAGAGGCTTAGGGACAGGGGGCAGAGAGGGGATAAGTGGGATGCCCACAAGTGGAATCCCAGTGGGCCACATGAAGTTTGCCGCCTACTGGATTTCAATCTTGTGGTCCACTGAGATGAGGGCCACTTAGCTGTTCCACTTCAAAAGTTCTGGGAGGGAGAAGAGTGAATGAGTGCAGGGCTACAGTGCCCCCAATGACCAAGAGGCTTAGGGACAGGGGGCAGAGAGGGGATAAGTGGGATGCCCACAAGTGGAATCCCAGTGGGCCACATGAAGTTTGCCGCCTACTGGATTTCAATCTTGTGGTCCACTGAGATGAGGGCCACTTAGCTGTTCATGATGGCCCACCATTCTTAAATTTGTAGTAGACCAATAAAGATGAACTACTCTGTCAATTTTAAATTCTAATCAGGTTCTACTGCACAATGTAGCTGTTCTTCCTCTTAGTCTCATTTCAATGTTGACTTCACTGGATGCTAAATTTGAAGATGTCGGAGGAGAGCGGGAATACAGCTACTTAAAAAACCACACATTGATTTGCATTGCTTATTTCTTAACATTTTCCTGCTTACATTGAGGTTTCCTGGACTATGACAGTCTGCTTTAGTATTGGCATTTCTAGTGCTGGATCAGTTATTTTATTTCATTCCCTGCTTTCAACGGATGTCAGTTATGCAAGTATTTTTCTTGACTTTTTGAAGCAAGTTAAGCATTCATCTGCCTAGTCTCTAACCTTCCATCTTTCTTTAATCTGTGAGCTATTAGCCATTGTATTATGTTCATATGAAGATTTTTCAAAGGTGAAAATGTATTTAACTATTAATATAGTAACCGTTTTGTTACATATAATAGAAGAAAATAGCAGTTAATACAACAGATCACATTAAACTAGTCTTTCACATATGCAGTTTCAGTACTGTTGTACACTTATGTCATGTATTATGTAAACACAGTTTATTATATACATTCTCTTAAGTATCCTGTATTCCTTGGCCAATTAAGAATTTAGGAGTGTTAGTGAGCAGTATCGACGACTCGCTTCCCCCCTTGCTGCTTCTATGAGAGGCAGTGGGGGAAGGGCGGACAGGAGCCGGTGCTGGGGGGAGCCTACTTAAAAGCTAGTTTCCCCCAGCACCGTCTCTGTGGTGCCGCCCTGCTCCTCCCTCCTCCCCCCTCCTGCTGCATCTATCAGAGGCAACGGAGAGGGGGATAAGGGAGGCTGCTGCTGCCAAGCTTTGTGGGGAGCTGCTCCTCCTCCCTCCAACCCCCCGCTCACAGCACTCCCTGTTGTGGTGGATAGGGCTTTCCACCACATACAGGCTGCTGGACTCCGTACGAGCTTGGACCAAGCAGTCCTGGATCGTGCTGGTCCGAGATGCTGCGGCTCTGCATTTGAAATGCAGAGCTGCAGCGTGGGTGGCTCCCAGAGCCAGCATGACCCAGGAGTGAGTTTATGGCTCCAGCCAGCTCTGCAGAGGAGTCCTTATTGACTAATTCTGTAGAGTAGTCTATACAAATTGCATCGATTACACGATTAGCCAGATAACTGCAATTAACACCCCTAGTGTTGAGTACTGTTGTTTTTCTGTCTGTGGTTGTGGCTTTAAAAAAGAGGTGGGGGGGGGGGAGAAGAAGTATTGTAATATGAGAAATATTATGATTATATTATCAGAGTAGATGAGGTTATCTCTTTTATTGGCTGGTGGAAAGTACAAGCTTTGATCTACACAGAGCTCATTAGGCTTGCTTCTTTCCTCAGACCTACAGAAGAGCTCTATGTAGCTCAAAAGTTTGTACCTTCCACCAACAGAAGTTGCACCAATAAAAGATATTGCCTGATATACCTTATCTCTCTCATGTCAACAGCTGCAGCATCACTGCATATACTGAAAGACTTATGTGTACACTAGTAGGCATAGTTAAGGAACTTTCTATAACCTTAGCATATGAAATTCTAGACTTCCAAACATTGAATTTTGTAATCTTAAAGTTCTGTTGATGATTAATTTTTGGGAGAGGTATTTGGAATGTTGTTTGTGAGGTGATGAGCATTAATAAGACTTCTTTTGTCTAAGCAGCAACTGTTTTTTCAAATAGTCATAATCTACAAATTAAGTAACCTGGCTTTTCTTTTACTCCCAAATGCATTAGAAGTGAATGGAAACAAAGTTAGGAAGAAATTAATGGCTCCAGATATTAGCTTAACACTGGATCACAGCGAGGAATCTGTGTTGTCTGATGACTTAGATGAGAGTGGGGAGATCGATTTGGATGATGTAGAGACTCCTTCCGAGAACAGTAATGAATTTGAATGGGAAGGTAAGCCTTTATTTCTTCCTTCTCATATTTCAGTAGATGTTGTCTGTTATGCTCAGGTCCATAGTATTTCATTTGGGTGAGAGGCTGAGCTAGAAGACTAAAAGAATCAAATGTGCAGAATGAGAATTAGTAGATTACAAGAATCAGAAGTTCAGAGATGGAAAGCGGGCTACTAAAAATCATTAGACACTTAAAGCAGGGGTGGCCAACCCGTGGCTCTCGAGCCACATGCGGCTCTTTGCTCAAAACAATGCAGGTCTTGATAGTTCTGAGCCGTATGCCCAGACTGCTCACAGCCAGCTGCTCTGTGCCCACATCCCAGTGCCTGGATGGAGACACACGTGGCGACGGTTCTAGTGAGACCCAGGCATTAAGTTGGGAGAGGGTGGGGATGCCTGGCTCTGGGGGCAGGGAGGAGGATTGGGTTAGAGCAGGAAGGCTAGGAATGCCTGGCTTTGGGGGAGAGGAGGGGCCATTGGGTTAGAGCAGGGGGCTGGGGGTGCCTCGTTCTGGGCGAGAGGAGAAGGATTGGGTTAGAGCAGGGGGTGCTGAAGCACCTTAAAGTCTTCATGTATTCAGAATAAGGCAGCCACCACAGATGTCATATTTAAATTCCAGGGCAAAAAAGAATCAGCAACTACCTGGTTTACAATGTTTCTTCAAAAAAAAATCAAAGGCTATTGTTTGCCAGGCTGAAGCAATTAGTCTGAGTTATAAGTCTCTTCCTTATTGTTTTTGAACCTCTCATATTTGCAGTCTGGGACAGACCTGAATTTTTAGAACTATTAAAAAAAGCCAAAAACTTCATAAGTTTTTTTTAAAAAAAACAAAGAAACAAGGAAACCTTACCAGAGATCAACAAGATGGAGTGAAACAGGAACTTGAAATTGTGCTAATTTACTACTTAGTTCAGTTTAATTTTAAAAAACTTACAGGACATATTAGGGCAGTAGCGTTAAATTTAAAATACATGGTGGGGATGCTTTTTTTAGTGAGAGAATATTACTGTATTTTTAAAGGGTTTGTTTGTTTGTTTTCATTTGATGTTTGTTCCTTGTCAAGTTCTCTGAAGATCTATGGACTGGCTGTGAATTTTTTAAATGACTAGAGACTTTTTTTATTGGTTTTTGTCTGAAATGTTCTGTATTGTTGTTTTTATCACTACATTTTGTGTACTATATCTATAGATATATAAAAATAAATATATAATGTGAGGCTTTGTGCTCCATCCACAGCTATTTTGGTTCTTCGTCTCTAACTGGTTGGCCACCCCTGACTTAAAGGAAAAAAAATGAATTGTGAAAAATGGGCACTATGGATTTATAAAGACTGTTGGCCAGAATAGCAAAAAATTAATTTCCTGATCCTAGTCTGATTCCTGTAGGTGAAACTTTATGCCTGTACTAATCTCCATTAATTCAGTGGGGCTTTGCATTGGTGCAGAAATCCACATGTAAACATCAGACTGTAGGAATGAGACCTTATGGATAAATTAAAGAGTATCTGTCTAGAATCCTTCCGACATTGGGACTCTCTTACAATTTATACCAAAGTTGACAACTATATTTCAGTATTCTGAAAATGTTTCTTCTTTCTATAAGCATGTACTTCACATTTTAAATACATAATTCTTGAAAGGAAGCGTGCTGCTATTCTAATAGATATGTCGTAGATGTACAATTACATATTGTACTGTAAGAAATCAGTTCATTCTTACTTTAATTCAGAAGCATTCTTAATACGCAACAGAGTAGAGGAGGAAGGAAAGACTAGGAAATATTTTAAACAACCTTTTACATAAATAAATTAAGCTAAATGTATTAGAAGTGAGTGAATAGAGAAAATATAAATGTAAGTATGAGGTGGGCTTGCCATATTTTACTGTCTTAGGGAATATGGTTTGGTATTTATGGATAATTTTAAAACATGATTCAGGAAATATTCCAGTTAAATTGTTACAAAAAGATGCTGAAAAGGGTTTCTGTCTTTTCTTTCTTTAATGCGGCTGTCTTCATTTTCCTGGAAGGATAGTTTCCATTAACAGCTTTGTCTTGGAAACAGACAACTAACATGCAGTAGGTTTTTCTCACCTTTGGTAAGGTCTGTGCAACTAAAATTCAAAGAATCATGATTTTATTTAAGAAATCTTTTTGAAGATTGCGCTTAGCATACATTTCAATTATTTTGAACATCTGCATTAGCTTTAATTTCTACCAGCTTTATCTGCATGTCTGCTTACCAGCTATTATCATTGTATTAAATTATGCTTCACCATGTAAATCTCTGATCAAACAAAACATGATCATTGAAGTTAACCACTTCATATCTAATTTGGCAGCATTTATGGTAACAAATGTTTAAAAGTGTATGTACTTTCCCAGAAAGGCCCTCTACATACCCAAAAATGTAAATGGTCAGTCACTTCCATATAAAATACAGCCAAGAGGACAGGTTTCTTCATGTAAATGTCAAATCTAATATTTATCAGCATACTGTATAGACTGACTTCTAATATGGTGTCTTCTAGTGATTAAAACTAAGTCATCTATTTCTGGCTGGTGAAATAGAAAATTATAATAATCCAAACTGAGTGAAGTGGTTAATTTACAATCTGATTAGGATTGTGATACTGAACATTAGCATGCATAATAGGTATATTTTACTGTTGACAGATGATCTTCCAAAACCAAAAACTACTGAAGTCATTAGAAAAGGTTCGCTTCCTGAATACACTGCTGCAGAAGAGAGAGATGATGGGCGACGCTGGCGTATGTTCAGGATTGGAGAACAGGATCACAGGGTGGACATGAAGGCAATTGAACCCTATAAAAAAGTTATCAGTCATGGAGGTAAGGATTAATGACCTGAGCTGAGAGAGGGGCCCTACAAATTGATACTCAACAGAGTCGGGAGGCGGGGACAGACAAAAGTAGTAAGGTTTAAAAATTGAGGAACCTCCATATCTTCCACATCATGAATTGCAGTTTTATTTTGGGGTGTTGGCTTAAAAGAAAGCAATCATAGTCTTGATAAAGATAATTCTGTACCTTTTTTTAGCTAGTGAAAACTAAAACGGTACAACAAATGAGTGGTAAATGTTAAAATAAATTAAAAACATCAGGACACAAGGAAAATGTTTAACTGTTCTGGATTGAACATATGCTCTAGTTACAGACTAGTTACTAGCGTTTCAGTATGTAGATTGCCAATTGTATTACAGTAGTTTTAAAAAAAATAAATATAGGTTTGGGTGCTACAGCAGCCTTTGTAAACTTCCTAACAACTTTTGGGGGGGGGGGAGGAATAGCTCAGTGGTTTGAGCATCAGCCTGCTAAATCCAAAGTTGTGAGTTCAGTCCTTGAGGGGGCCATCTAGGGATCTGAGGCAAATCTGTCAGGATCAGTATTTCATACTGCCACAAGGGCAGGGAACTAGGTTCAATGACTTGTCAAGGTTCCTTCAAGCTCTATGAGATAGGTATATAGCTCCATAAACTTTGGTTTTATAGTCATGGTCTTCCGCTGTTATATATATGTAAAAATCCATTAGAAGGGAAACTGACTACTTCCAAATGCTGTCAAATACATAAATTAAACATACCAATAGAAGTTATAGAACATCTTTCATTATAGTAATTTTTAGCTATCCAAGTAACGGTAAGTAAAATACTCAAAATTATTTAAAACCAGTGGTGTCTTTTTAGCCTTTCTGCACCTCCATTATTTCGTCTGTAAAGCATTTTGAAGTAGATGATGGAGAAAGCACAGTAAGTGCAGTGTTTACTACTTTAAGATTTGATTAATATAATTAGACGTCTTCATTATTTTTACTGTATTGGTATTAATCGTTTTGCTTCCTTCTAGGTTATTATGGTGATGGGTTAAATGCCATTGTTGTGTTTACTGTTTGCTTTATGCCTGAAAGCAGTCAGCCTAACTACAGATATTTAATGGATAATCTGTTTAAGTAAGTATTCTTTTTGCCATTAAGAACTGTCCATAAATGAAGTAGATGATCAAGGGCTACTGGTGTCTCTGCTTTTTACATGAAATTTTATGTTGAGGAAACACCAAAATAATCTAGTTGTGACTTTTTTCCTGTAGACTTCAAGCCTTTATCAAAATATTTTTTCATTTGCACATTAACCATCTCTCTATAGTTTTTCATTTTAAAGCTTTCTCCTTACTTGTTGTTACAGATACGTTATTGGCACTTTAGAACTGTTAGTAGCAGAGAACTATATTATAGTTTACTTAAATGGTGCTACGACACGGAGAAAAATGCCAAGTTTAGGCTGGCTCAGGAAATGTTACCAGCAAATTGATAGAAGGTAAGATTAAATTTTACTACAGCATCTAGACATCTTTTTACATCACCTTTCTTTCATTATTTGTAATTTGTGGAAATTGCTAATTAGCATATTGTGAATTGAATCCTGAAACAATTGTCCTGTTTCGTTTTTGAGTGATTTAGGCTCTGAAACCCCAATGCAGAAATACTGCTGGAAAGTGTTGTTTAATTTCAAATGAAATGCTTGTCAGTATTCTTTCCACTAATCATAAAATTGCCCTGTGAATTACTATTGAATAAGGGCTTCACAGTGTATTGTATGGTCTTATTTAAAGTTACCTTCCTGAATAGTCTTGCAGGAAAGTTGTGACATCACTTGAACAGGTCAGTATCAACTGTAAAAGAAAAGCTGATTTAGAATGAAAAAGTACTTGCAATCTCTTGCACAGCTGTAAAAAGAGCCAGTAAAAAAAGCTTCTTTCCAGCTCTACTTTTCCTATGAGTGTCTACAGTAAAAGTCTAAAGAGATCCCATTAGTGGAGCTTGCAGTTAGATTGCATTTATCCCGTGGAGGCTGCACAAGTGGGGTGGAGGAGAATTCTATGGATCTGAAATTTCTTATTTAACTTATCTGAAAGGTAGATATGCAACTCTGTAATACTGGGTGGGTATAAGATGCAAAAATATTGAGGCAGCTGCTGTTAGCAGTCCATTTCCCCCAAAACACATTGGCAATGGTCTCAGATAAGTTATAACAGTCCTTTTTTCCACTATCTTCCCTTTATTTTCCTTTATCTCATTTACTATCCAGACACCTATTTCCCAATAGGACTTCACTCTTACCTCTCTTGGAGAAAGGTTGTTAAAATGTGTGGAAGAATGAGTTAGCCATATTGATCCTTGAGACATACCAGTAACACTTGGCAAAAATCTCTTAATTGGGTAACTTATTTTTAGTTCTGTCTCCTCACAATCTGATTCTCAAATGATCTATTCATGACAAATATTACCAAAACCAGGTTACGTTGCTTTAGTCAACTCTAGTAGACAAGGAGTTGACAATAGAGACTCTTTTAACTGGAGTTTATTCATTAGCTTATGACACAGAGAAATAGCACTTGTACAATAATTGAACCATTGTACTTTTATATTAAAAATGCATTTTTTATTCATTTTGTTCCTTAACACTGGTGTTCAATACTTGAATTCTTTAGGTTAAGGAAAAACCTGAAATCGTTAATAATAGTTCATCCTTCTTGGTTTATCAGAACACTTCTGGCCGTCACAAAACCTTTTATTAGGTAATATTCTGGAAATTACTTCATTTAAAGAAAGTAAAAATGTATTAGCACTTTACATTTCTGAAAGTAATACTAAATATTTAAAGATGTACTCAACAATTACGTAATTATTCTTTGTTTGTTCTTCTGCAGCTCAAAATTCAGCCAAAAAATTAGATATGTCTTTACTCTGGCAGAACTCACTGAACTCATCCCCATGGAATACGTTGGCATACCAGAATGCATAAAACAGTATGTTTTATTATTCTTCCATGCTAAGGTGTGATTGGTGCAGAGCACAATTGAGAACTTGTCAGTTTTTCAACATGTCTGTAAATCAGCATTAATCAAAACAGTGGTACTCTTGCCCTGACTTTCCCTTAGAGTTGTGATTGTGTTGACTTCTGCTTCTCATGGTGCCCAGCATAATGGTACTCAAAACATTGCGGTGAAACAATACTTAGCTCTGGTTTATATAATTGCTCAATTATACTTATGATTCCACAAGATTAGTTCATGCTCCGATCATAATGAAAGATTAGTTGATACTCAGGCCTCTCTGAAATTATTAAAATTCACTTGCTAGTGTGAGAAATGCTCATCTTGCAGGTACTTCAATGTAGCACTCACACCAAAGTATTTGAGAAGTTGCAGACAGAACAAAAACAAAATAGGTTAAGCAATCAAATAGATCACAAACAAATAAGGAATCCCTTTGACTATAAATGTAAGCCTAAAAGTCCTTAGAGAGGAGCAGATTTAAGAGCTTTTTTTTAAAAGTGGGGATAGATGAAATAAGAGATGTTAAAGAGGATGCATTCTAAACCATATGGTTCATTACACCAAGAGCACATCTGCCTTCAAGCTTGAGGTATGACGGTAGAATTTTTTTTAAACTAGGCTATATGTTACTTTGTGAGCCTCAACAGTACAAGGCTCACAAAGTAGAGCTGATGCATGTGGAGCAACAGTTTAGGATCCAAAGAATCAATAGTGACCTTTTGAAGTTGATCTACTACTTCATAGGCAATTGGCTTACAGAATCCATAGTAGTAAGGTTATGATGTTGGTCACAAGGCATGTGTTGGTGTTGAAAGGCTGACATGAGGATAAATGTCCAGCTGGTTCAAATTGCAAAACAGAACATCTTGTAACATGCAGAATGTGGCTTTTTGTTGAATATGCACAATTGGCACAAGCCTGTATATCTGGCATACTCTATAGGGCCTGTTCCCTTCAAAGCACGGGATTTGGAGGTGGTAGGTAGAGATTGTGACATGAACAGTCTTATGTTATCCCAAGGTTGAAAAGACACCCTTGATGCAGCCTGCTGCAATATTGATCAAGCATTGATCTTCTGCAGAGACCAAGCTCAGGGCAAAAGTATATGCCAGAACATTTTGGCGCATTGCTGTGTTGGAGAATATGGCATTTTGAGTTGTACTTCAAAAATAGGGGTGTCAGTTTCTGGATTTTGAGATGAGACCAAAATGGACTAAATTTACTATGGTTACCACATAGCAACCAAATCTCTGAAAGCTCTGCATTTTAATTTAAGCTAATATTATAAGGTATATATTAACGTTATGCTCTAAATAACTGTACTAGTTTCAAGACTTGATATTCTATTTCCATGAAGAACTTTGAGTTTGATTGTCCTTCATATCTTGTACTTACTGAAATCAAACTTTTCCCCACTAAGGTATGAAGAAGAAAAGTTTAGAAAGAAACACAGAAGGTATATATATACACACAGACACACCTTATTTAAGGATGCATCTAAACAAGTCCATTTGCACTGCACATACTAACTCTTTTCAGATTGGTTGGCTTGCAGACAGGAACAAGCATTTGTAAATATAAACATGCACTAATCATTTATCTTGAGTTTTGATGTTATGGTAAATGTAACTTGTAAGAGTTCCACATAGAAATGTACCCAAGGATGGGTTTGTAATCTGTCAATATTTCATTACGTCAGAGGTGTTTTTATTAAGGGGATGTGTTGACTTTGAGCTACATAGTCAAAAAGTCATATGCATTTTTGAACCAGCTTGAACAAATTAAGTTTATTATTAAAAATATGTACTGTAATTTCTAGATGCTTCTTACAAATTTCAGGATTTAGCATTACTATCTTGCTTTGTTCAGTTTTCACTAATTTCAAGATACCTAACTTGCACAGCCCATAAATTAGTTTATATTTTGCTCAATGCTGTTTGTATTTGCAATGCCTAGATTCCTTGCTAATAAATATTGGATTTTCTGTATGCTGAAACTTAATGGCTTATAACAATTCAAGCAATTCCTATATCTGATAAAAATACTTAAAACATATCAGTAATCACCATTCAGTCTTTCTACCAATAACCTCACTAAAACTCTGTTTCTAACTTTAAACTTTATTCTGAGCATTCCTACTGCTATATGCATAACAAACTGTTTAGGGAGAAGTCACTTTCTATAAAACATGTCATTATATAGGAAGATAGAAAAAATAAAATGCATTGAGAATTAACTTGTCAGAAATAACTTTTCCCATATGGCTTTTACTAGCTCTTATAAAAACTGAAGCAAAAAGCTAGTGGAAAAGTTTAAAACTGTTAGCCTGTACAAATAAGCTTTAATTCTGCAATAAGGTAGCTGAGGTTTAAAAAAAAAAAAAAAAAAAAGGACCAACTCCCAGAAAATTCAGTTACAGTTCTCACAGCAACTCTGACTTGTTACACCTTGTTAATGTCTCATATTTTGACTGTGTTTGGACTCCAAGGAAACATTTATGGGTTGCAGTGGATATAGAATTGAGCATTGAGAAGGAATATATCCACTTGAAATTTCAAATCTTAGGTACAACAAACAGAGTACTTTCCCTTTCTAGTGTTGCTATGTGAAAATCTGATTATAGTGGGGTATAATTGGGGGAAAAAACAGATCTTAGTTACTTTATTGACAACATAGGTGCTTTCCTATATAGTGTCATAATATTCTTAGGAGTTAACTGTAAAAACAGTAATTAACAATACTTTAGACATCATTGTAGAGCCTTGTGGTTTAAGTTGCCATATCCCTTGATACTTGATGTACAGTGATTTTTTTCCTTTGGGAATTACTCAACTCATTAAAATACAATCCGAGATCATATATACATGCTTTACTCTGCTATTGCCTTGAGAAGTGGTGTGACATACTGCACAGATACTGCTGTGTAGCTTCTAAACCATATATTCTTCAGATTTCAGTGTTTTAGATACTTAAACAGCCAAACCAAACTTTAACTGAAGTGACTTTTTCCCAAAAAAATCATTTTTGGCACAGAATAATCAGCTGAAATAGTAACTTAAAATATGAAATGCATGCAAATATGGCTGACTTAGATATTATTGGTATTACTGCCATAGCATTGGAGCTGTGGACCTTTTTTACTGAATTCACCATGAACTATATCAACACCAGAGAACAGTCTTAGTCAGTTAAACCATTTGTGATGCAAAAGCTAAAGAGAGGGAACTGTCTTCCTCCTTACTCAGTTTATTAAGTTCAATAAATATATACAATAAAAGCCCTCGTGAAAAAGTAATTGATTATGTAAAATGAGGGGATGTGCCCGGTGCTGCTTGGGTCCATAATTCAGGAATTCCATCAAGTGTGTTTTTCTTCATCCCTATAAACTTTTATCATTTTTTACTGTTTTAACAAAAAAAAGTCTATAGTCAGTTTGGTTTCCAATAACATTTTCTTCTATATTTCAAACTTTAAGCTTTGGTTTAGTTCTGCTAAAACAGAGTACTACTCCAGATTTCTCAGTTTCTCTTTTCTGTAAGGTTTATTGAGTAGCAATCCTATTTTTCTGGCTCATTTTGGATCCATCTGTTTCAACATTTGCTCAGTTGCCTCAATTTTGAGTACTGTGCTTGTTTTGGTGATTGTCTCATTTGTATAATTTTATGAGAAGCAAATCCCATTCTAGGCATATCCCATTTTCCTGGCACAACCAAACCCTTAACTGCTTTAAGTTATAAGGGGAAGCTATAACCCCAAATTTGGTGATCCTAGTTCTTACTGTTTAGGAGTAGTTGATCAGACAGGCAATCTCTAAAATATATACTAAAGTAAAATATATACTTGAAAGTAGGAATAAGAGATCCTCCGGAATAGGGCTTTATTCCGGAGGATCGCGCCAGTCTGGACGCTCTTTTCCGGCTTTACCCAAAGCCGGAAAAAAAGCGACGTCCATGTTTATTTAAATCCCGCGGGGGATATTTAAATCCACCGCAGATTTCCCTATTCCAAAGATCTAAAATAGCATGCCTCTTCTGAAGAAGGGGCCAGTGTAGACCTAGCCAAACTGAAGCAATTGAGCCATTAGATTAAGCCAAAAGTTGTGTTCCATGTCTTTGGGTATTTTAGGCAATGCATACATCATTTCTTATATGTTGGTTTATTTCTGGAATCTCTACCTTTATTGCAATAATTTTAGCATACAGTTTAGTACAGGTAAATTAACTTTGGAGAGGTGATTGTTGCAACAGAAGTTACCAAAAAAGGTTTGATACTATTTAGCTACTAGTCTGCAGAGATGGAAAAACACATGCATCTCAGAAGTGTTGAGCAGCCATCTTTAGGCACGCACACATTTGACTTTTGGTTTGAGTATTTGAAGTTCAGATTTGGTTTTAACCTGTTCCCCATTTGTCAACATCCTGATGAATTTTGCCTGGTTGACACTGAGTCCCAGAATTGGCTACAAGCCAGATTGGATTCCAGCCCTGCAAACAATTTTTTGCACAGAAGTAGTCTCACTGAAGAGTTGAGTTGATATGTGAAGTTAAGCATGTGTTTGCAGTATTTGGGTCTAGAATTCTAAATCAATTGGTAGGTTCTTCTTAAACTAGCTAGGAATGTTGTAAATGCAAGCATAAATACTGACACTAACCACATATATCCAAAAACTAAATTAGAAGGAATAATATTTGTTCATAGTACAGGATTTTAATTTTGCTTGTAATAAGTGTAAAGCATTTAGTGCCTACATGGCATTTTTACTCCATAGACAGGGCAGTGATGGAGCAGGATTGGACTTGATGACCTCTCGAGGTCCCTTCTAATTCTATGATTCTATAAAGCTCAAAGGAAAGCTGTGTCTGGACTAGAAAAAGTATTAGGTATTTACTAGCCAGAGAACTAAGTGTACTAGGCTCAGGCAACATGAAGGATGAATGCCTCCGTGCACCAAACATGTCGGTAGACTGGCCTGATGAGATGCCAATAACTCTGTCCTATTTTGGGGAACAGAGAGGACATTATGGTTCTCTTTTGTGGGTCTCTGGCTGATGGATTTAAAAACTGTTGTCCTTTTTAGCTGCTTGGAAGGAACTTTCTCATCCTCCAACTTCAGAGCCTCTTGGCTGATGGAGAGTAAGAAGGGTGTTTTTGCTACTCTACTTTTTCCCAAGCCTTTTTTAGTCACTTTCCTGTAAGTACTTTCAC